GCAATGCTAGAACATTTTGAGCTTGTAAATGCATACTGAAAAGAGCACTGATACCTGAATTTGATGCCTGATCTCTTTGAAACAGTCTGATTAAGAAAAGGCCTCCAGAAGCGGTGTTGCCCATGCAACCTGTCAGCACAGGTTTCTTAAGATTGCTGTCTGGCTGAACATGTCAGATTCCTGTTTGGAAATATCTGGAGTGGATCCACAAAGCTTACCTGTGTTTTCCTTTCTCACTGCCTTTCCTTCAAACATTAGTGTTCTGGCTGAATTAGAGCATTTGGGCAGATGTAAAGCTGACCAGTGTGATCACCTGCAAAATAACTTTTAGAACTGAGGTAGATGTTTTCTGGTGAGAATATGTCAGGGACATGTGCTTTCCTAAGCATTGCAAGGATACAAAATCTGTGTTCTTCTAATTTTTTAACAAACAGTGCTTTTGAGTCTGCTCTAAAATTTGCCCTTCACTTTTTTTTTTAAGCTTAATCTATTTAAGAAAATACTTTTATACCACGTTAGTAATCTGATTATACTTGAAGTTAACACAAGCTTTCATATTGCTCTGAATACAGCTGCTTTCCTGAACTGAGGCCTATGTTTAGAACTTAAATCTGAATCCTGGACTTCAGAAAATGCTAAAATAGGTTGCTGCTCCTGAAAACACAGGCTGGCAATTCCTCTGCTTTCCTGTGTGTTCTGTAGAGACAACATTGAAGTTCGGTCGCATAAGATTCATCCTTATCTTCATGATATTCACTATTATTTTAAGAACTCTTAAGCATTCTTAATAGGTGCAGTTCAAAAAACTTGCAAGGACAGGAAATGTCTCCCTTTCTTGCCATGACAATAAGAAGTGCTTGAGAGAAATAAGGCTATGTGAGAAGCATCATTATTGCTCTCCTTGGTGTTATGCTCACTTCTTATGCCAGTAAAATTTTCTTCTTTTCACTTTTTTGAAGCAGTGTCTTAAGATTGTTTTGGGTTTTTTTTTCTTTTTTTTTTCTTTTTGTGTGGAAACTATTAAACTGACTGCCATAATGGTTGTAGCCTTTTTGGTAGTCACTCAGAACAGAGAGATTTCAGGGAACTGCAATGCAAAATTCCCCTTATAGTATGTCAGATGAGATCTGAAGATCGATGCTGAATGTAGCCCTGTCTATTTGGCTTGGCTTGGTTTTTTTTTTGCCACAGCTGCAAACTATATTCCAAATTACCAATAATAACGATGGCTGTTCTATAATTTTGTTGCAAGTCACACTGAAACAGCTTCTTGTCTCTCCTGAATGTAAGTGCAACTATATGTTGCATGATCCAGAACCAGGCACCCTGTGCCATTTCCTTTTGGTAAACATGGTTATGGAGGTTGGGAGGACAGTTGACTTTTAGGTTACCCAACAGTCTGCAATTAGCAACACCCTAAGATTTCTGGATTTTCTTATCTAGCCTTCTTTTGTGTGACTTGAATTATAAGAGAAGCCAGAGCCAAGTGAACTGGGGAGGTCAGTAAAATACTATTGTTCAGTCTTGTTCTTTGCTTTTAAAGTAAATTGATCCTATTTGCAGGGATATCCTTTCAGTTATTCAGGACTAGAATCATACGTTTCGGAGGAAAACACAAGAAATCTTTGGATGGTAAGCTCAGCACTTACAGACTTCTGTTACAAAGTAAGCAATCAGAAATATATTTGGGCAGAAACTGAGCAGCTGTTCTGAATTCTTTTGTGACTATAAATTTTTGTAGTTTGGGCCGAGTTGCAACTTGGGACCTGACAAATAGTTGACCAAAAAGGACACACAGAATAAGAAATAATATAGGTGCATGTGCTTGTTGGGTAAACGGTCCTTTCCTGTGAGAAATTGTCAAAATAGAGTAGTTAATGAAGTAATTATGTGATATAAGTGGGAAGATTCTTTTGTTTCTGTTATATCCTGCTGAACTGATTTTAGGAACAGGTCTGGGTGAATAATTTTTCTGAACAGAGGATGAATATATTTTATGTTTATAAAATTCATAAACAATACCCAGTTTCACCCTATGTCCTATATTTCTCTGACATTCAGAAACCAAAGCCTGTATCTGAAGAAGGTCACAGATGTCATAGCAATGAACATGTAAGTTCATGGATCTCAAAATAACAATAAAATAATGTTTTAAAATACTTAAATATTATAAAATAAAATAATAGTTTTAAATTACATAGTATAATATTTCCACATATTAATATGCAATATATTTGTGTATAATTATGTTTTTATAAAAATATCAACCAAAATATAATCAATAATTAGTGAATCCAATAATGGTATTTAAATTATATACACTGGATATTGGAAAAAAACCTAAGCAACTCCAGATACCATCCACAAGAAACAGTGTATCAAGGACGAGAGCTGTCCAGAAATAAAGAACCAAACACTGATAGGGAGGGCGATTAATCTGAAGTAGCAGCCCTTTCTGGTTTCTGAATGCCCTAAACAGCACTTGGCCTCTTCCTTTCTATTGAAGATACAGTCAGAAACCTTCTCCTAAGGGTAGATAGCTAATCTTTTCCATTTACAGAGTAGTGATAGATAATGTTGCTCTCTGGTATGATGGCTCACTGGTTAGTGCTTCAACAGTCAGCAAAAGTCATCCATGTTCAGATCCTTTGCTGATCTGTGGGTTTCAAGCTGAAGAGGTAACATTTGCTGTTGTATACGTTCTTCTTATTTTCTTTTTTACCTTGTAAGATTTTAAATGAAAGACTCCAAGATTCAGTGAGGAAGAATGCTGAGAAGAAAGGTACCAAGTGACTCTGTAGCCTCACCTGCAGCACTCTCACTGTCCTGACGCACTGAATAGGCAGGCTTGGATGTCTAATGCCAGGTCCTGTGTTCCTCTCAGACACCTCAAAGTTAGAGCTTGTAGTCAGTATCAGCATAGCAAAGTCCCTTTTTAGATCTAGCCTCTAGACACAGATTTTGAAAACAGTCAATTTTACATTCATTAAAACTAATGGGAATATTCATGCGTATAAAGTAAAACGTTTCAGGGCCCAAAACCCATGCCCAAATGTTCATCTACTGGTCTATGGGTTAGGCCTTTGTTCAGACTGGAATCTTGCTGTTTCCACTAAATACCCGTTTGCTTGTGCATAAAATCACAGGACTGTCTCCTTGTTGTCCTCCTACACAGAGAAAATAGAAGTGGTCTAGCCTGCGAACTGATTCTTCTGACGCTGAGAATAGCAGAGGTCTGGGTAGGAAAGCATGCCGCAGTGGGCATGATGCCCCCAAAAGTAATCTTTAAAACAATTATTTTAATTACTGTTGAGGGCTTGCATATCTTGTCTTTCTCCTCCATGTTTTAAAAGATGCTGGTCGGTAAGGTACCAACAATATGCAGTAAAAAATTGAGCAGTATTGTGATAATACTGACATTTATGTAGCTCTTTTCAAAGTATTGGAAAAACTGGAAAGGCTGAGCTGCGGACAATAAATGGTCAGCTTAAAGTTACTCACTGGGCTGAGGAATGAAGTCTTATAGTGTTGAAGAGCGAGGTATTGCACAAAATATGAGAGCTGGAGTAACACGCTCCTGCTTTTACTCCTGCTGCTGAAGACTCACTCTCTGGTTTCAGGAGTGAGCTGGTACTTCTTGGTCTTGGGTGGGCAGAGACTAGGAGATAGCCAGCCATCTGCTTGGAAAGGAGTTAGCACCTGTCCTTGTGTAGTGGGTGTCGTGTGCCTGCTCAACTCCAAAGGCTTTCAGCAGACAGAAGAGCCATCAGGCAGAGCTTCATGGAGCCACACGGACAAAGTGAAACAACTGATATTGTAAGACGTCAAAGAGATTCAGACAGTGTCGGTCTGTGAAAGAAAAGGGGAAAACACTTGCCCAGGTTTGGATGTGAAAACTTTGTACTTGGCGGAGCCGTAGGTACAGATTTACTGTAAGGTAATGTGGGAAGCGGATTTCGATAAATTGAAATAGGAACGTTAGCTTGTCTTCACTGCTGTTTTCAGTCGCTTAGAAAGGTAAATATAATTTACCTACTACGTACGTGCAGAGGGATGCTGCCTCCCTTGAAATTACCTTTTAAATATATTATTGGGGTGATTTTGCAACGGTATTTGGGAATTACATTTTGGCTTGCGTGTGTAATGGGTGAATTAGCAACAGCCAAGAAGCAGCTGCTTTAACTCTGAGTTGTGAATTTATTCCCCAGAAAAAGGATGCCGCTGTGAACAATGATTTGGGGAATTAGTCTTTCATATTGGCTGGAAGAAAGTAAGCCGCCCTTTTCGCTGTTTTCTCGGTCCTCTTTTCGCATTTCGCGAGGCTCGTGATTCAGGAGCCGGGTTTGTACGCGCGGTTTGGGCGCGTGGCGGCCCGCGGGTCACCAGGACGGAGGCGAGGGGGCGGCGAGGCACGCGGCCGGCCACGGCGCCGCGGCACATCAGTCGCGCCGCGGCAACTGCCCCTAGTGGGAGTCTCTGTGGCGCAATCGGTTAGCGCGTTCGGCTGTTAACCGAAAGGTTGGTGGTTCGAGCCCACCCAGGGACGGCTTCCCCTTTTGGCTCGCCCGCTTCCCCTGCAGCCGGCCGTCGTTTTGTGCGTGTGCGCCGGGGGAGGATGTGAGATTAGCGCCGGCGGCCGGGCAGGCGCCGCGTGTTTCTGGGCAGGGGGGCCCCCGGCGGGGAGCGCGGCCGCTGCAGCTCCCTCCCGCGCTGCGCGCTGCCAGCGAAGGGCTTCGCTGCTCGCGGCGCCCCTGCGCC